GATTTTCAGCTTGATTGTTATTGGCGTATATGATTGTCATTGATTTGTGTGCATTAATTTTGTATCCTGAGACTTTACCGAATTTGTTTATCCATTCCAGGAGTCTCTTGGCTGAATCCTTGGGATTTTCTAGATGTAATTGCATTTCATCAGCAAGGAGTGAGAGTTTGACCTTTTCTGCCCCATTCAGACACCTTTATTTCCCTTCTCTTATATGATTGCTCTGGCAAGGACTTCCAGCACTATGTTGAATAGAAGTGGAGATAGTGGGCAACCTTGTCTGGTTCTAGTTCTGAGTGAGAATGCTTTCAATTTTTCCCCATTTAATATGATATTGGCTGTGGGTTTATCATATATGGTGGTAATAATTTTAAGAAATATCCCATCTATGCCAATTTTGTTAGGGATTTTTATCATAAAAGTGTGTTGGATTTTATCAAATTCTTTTTTTGCATCTATTGAGAGAATCATATGGTGTTTGCTCTTGCTTTTATTTATGTCGTGAATTGCATTTATAGATTTGCATATGTTGAACCAGCCTTGCATCTCTGAGATAAAGCCCACATAGTCATGATGGATTATTATTTTGATGTTTTGTTGGATTCAATTTGCTAAGATTTTGTTGAAGCTTTTTGCATCTGTATTTATGAGGGATATTGGTCTGTAGTATTCTTTTTTTGTTGCATGCATTCCTGGCATTTTTTCAAGCTGATACTGGCTTCATAGAATGAGTTAGGGAGGTACCATCCTTCTCAATCTTTTGGAATAATTTCTGCAGTATAGGTATGCACTCTTCTTTATAGGTTTGGTAAAATTCACGTGTGAACCCATCTGGTTTGGGACTTTTTTTGGAAGATTTTTTTATTGCTGCTCCAATTTCTGTGCTTGGTATTGGTCTGTTCAGGAATTCTATTTCCTCCTGATTGAGCTTAGGGAGATTGCATGTTTCTAAGAATTTGTTCACTTCCTCCATCTTTTGTAGATTTTGGGCATATAGATTTTTATAGTATTCAAAGACAATGTTTTGTATTTCCAAAATGTCTGTAGTGACCTCTTTTTCTTTTTTTTTTTTTTTTTGAGACAGAGTCTCGCTTTGTTGTCCAGGCTAGAGTGAGTGCCATGGCGTCAGCCTCGCTCACAGCAACCTCAAACTCCTGGGCTCGAGTGATCCTTCTGCCTCAGCCTCCGAGTAGCTGGGACTACAGGCATGCGCCACCATCCCGGCTATTTTATATATATCAGTTGGCCAATTAATTTCTTTCTATTTATAGTAGAGACGGGTCTCGCTCTTGCTCAGGCTGGTTTTGAACTCCTGACCTTGAGCAATCAGCCCGCCTCGGCCTCCCAAGAGCTAGGATTACAGGCGTGAGCCACAGCGCCCGGCCTCTTTTTTCATTTTTGATTGAGTTTATTAAAGTCCTTTCCTTTCTAGTTCTTATCAATCTAGCAAGAAGACAATGTGTTTCTACAATTATATTTTTTTCTTTTTAATCTTTTTCTTTTTCTTTCTTTCTTTCTTCTTTCTTTCTTTCTTTCTTCTTTCTTTCTTTCTTCTTCTTTCTTTCTTCTTTTTTTGTGAGTAGAACTTACTGTACTGTATTTGGAGCATTGTGTAACAATGTACTGTACATTGTTTTCATTCAGAAAAGATTAACTATTGTTTCAATGTTTTAAAAAATGGCTATAGGATCATTTGTATTTCCTATTTCTTCTTCATTCAGTGTTAGCAGCCTATATTTTTCTCAGAATTTGTCTTTTCTTTTTGCTTTATAATTTAGTGGCATGAAATTTTTTATAATACTCACTTATATTTATTATCTTTATTTTTATCTTCATATTGTATAAATTGATTCTGACTAGAGATACTTAATATTTCTTACATCTTATTTTATTGTTGTTGTTGTTGGTGGTGGTGGTGTCTCTCTCTCTTCATCTTGCTATAAGTTTGTGAATTTTATTGTTCTTTTCCTAGATCTGCCTTTCTGGCCTTGCTGATCAAAATTTTTTGTTTTATATTTCATTAACAGTTGCTTTTAATTTTATTATGCCCTTACTTCATTTGGTTCATTTTTATTCTGATTTTTTATTTATTAATGGTGTAAGGCAAGAATGCCAGCACAAAGTATAAAGGTTTTAATACCAATATGTAGGGCAGTAGTAATAATAATAAATAGCTGACATTTAAGAAGAAAAGATGGGTGCTTTTTCATCTTTTTGGCCGTGATTTTTTTTCTAATATGAAGATTTAAAGTCACAACTTTATTCTAAGTAGAAACTTTAGCTGTATCCTGTAAGTTTTAATATGCAATACTTTTATTATATTTCAATTTTAAGTATTTTTCAGATTTCCTTTATAATCGTCTCTTTGAATGTTGAGTTATTTAGAATGGTTTATTTGTGATTTCAAATATGAGTTTTTAAAAAATTCTTTTCTTTTACTTATTGATTTCTATTGAGTGATTTTTATAGTTCAGGAAGAATATATATTGTATGTTACCAATTCTTTAGTATGCTGTGAATTTTTTTTTTTGCTTGATAACATGGGTGAATTTATTTCTCAAGATTCAAGTGCAAACTTAAAACAAGAACAAAGCCTTTCATCAAGAATAAACACAAAATCTAAAGACAACCCTGCAATCGTGCATTTAACAGAAGTACAATATAATACATTATATTTGTAACTACATTCAAAAATTAAAATATTCTCTATCCAATCCAACACCACAAATTTTTAACCTGTTCTCATCTTGTATATGTCATATGCTATCAGGAAATATAGGCAATAATTACTAATCAGTCTTACGACCAAGAAATTACTTTCCTCACTTCTGACTTTTGAATCATTCCTGTATTTCAGTTCTGAAAAGCCATACATTATATCTCCTCTTAGAGAATAAGAAATGACAATATCAAGGAGACAAGAATACTTTCATGTAATTAAAGCAAAGTCACAAGTGTCTGACTTAGAAATGTCTATCATAGTAAATTTTTAAGTATAAGTATTTGGTGGCTGACATGTAGACATCTGTGAACAAATTTAAACAGGTATAAAATGTGAGATTAAAATCTTTGGCTCAAATACTTGAAAGTCACTATGAATATGGAAGATTTTTACATAAATGTATATTATTTAGATGAATAAACGGGGTAGTGGCATCTCCCTGGTCCCTTCACATATTTGGATTTTCGCAAGAATTAGCAGACCCAACCTTAATTTAATTATGTGTTTCTAAAGGACCTATTCAAGAGATAGTGGCAGTGTTCTAGCTTTGGAGATGGGAGCAGGTGGGTGCAAATATCTAAGATAGTATGCATATCTACACATTTAAAATCACCATTTCATATGGAGAGAATCCATATTGAAAGTCTAAAACACATCCTAAAGGATAAACAGTAGGCAGGAATAGAAGCAGAATATTATCTACTAGATAGTAATGGTTTTCATCTCCAAGGCAAGGTTGGAAGAATGAGAATACTCACATAACATTACTTCAATGAAACTTGCCTAGATTTTACTTGCAGAACATTGAACAGAATCTTTACAAACCTTCATCTTAATTATAATTCAGATGATTTTTTCCTTATTAACCATATAATAACACTTAAGTATTTTCCTTATAAATATTTTAGAACAAAAGAATTATTTTGCTTCAATGGTGGCCCACATCTGTACAAAGCATGTAAGCAGCAACACACACACACACACACACACCATATATATGATAATATATATATATAAAATAATTAGAAAAAGTGCAAAGAATAACAGTATTAAGATTCTGCTTTTACAGTAACTGTGGTTCAAGTGTGAATATCTTCAGGGATATATAACCCTAGATTTTAATTAAAGGTTCCAAGAGAAACCACACTCAAAGTTACTGCCAAGCATCAGTCCCATCAAGTAACTCTGCTCCTTTCTCTCAAATCTAACATTCCAGTTTCTAAACCTTTCACAAACAGGAAAAGGATGGTAACAGTGTTTTCTTCCTTTAACTTCCCCACTCATCCAAGTCAATTAATTACCTGTCGGCTGGAAGAAGATTACTGGGGAAGCATTCATTATAACCCGCTTTGCTAAAATTAAAGCAAAATGAAGGCTTTCTGAATGCTAACTGTCAAGGATCAAATCAGCAACAGCAAACAGACCTTAAATTACAAATGCAATTTCAGATGAGTCAATTTTAAAAATGAATCTGTCCCTGAAGATAAATTCCGAGTCTAAATCTCTTCCCAGGTTCAGTGCTGTGCAAGGTTCTAATTTCCAAATACTTATGATTTCATCACTTTTTCTAATGAGAAAATGCTTCCTATTACATTTGATTACCTTTCTATCATTTTACTCTTGGTCTGTCTTTCATTTTTTTTTTAACAGACAAGAATGACAAATTTTAGCATTTTAAAACGTACTCGTCTAAATCAAATATTATAGTTACTGACTTTAGATCTCCAAAGTTTCAAAAAGCAGTTAATTTCCCTTCAAATATATTACTAGATTTGTTTTTGGTTGTGTATATGTTGGTTTATTCTCACTTAGCACTGTAATTATTCACAATATTACAATGGTTCTATGTCTAACTATGCACATTATAATCTTAATTTTAATACCTTCTAAGGTATATTGATCAGTATATTAGTTACAATGAATTTTCCCTTCAAGATAAATGTTGGAGAAGAATTTTAAAGCCCTGCAGCACTTCTGCTTTGAGTAGTGTTAATTACATTTTTGTTTTTCGTGCTTAATATTTAGGCTTCTTCTGAACTAGGAAGACAATAGACATTGGAAGCTGCAAATTTCCTCAAACTACATTCTACTCCAACTCCAATTAATTTTGTTCAACATTAAATATTTCTTTACAAAACAAGTATACTTAGGCTAATTTTTAAAAAGAATTTCTGCTCTACGATTAATAACACCACTAAAGGGAAATAACTTTTCAATTTCAGCTTCACCAGGACTATGCAAAACTAAGTTAAAGTAGACTGGACAACTATTTTAATCAGTTTTGTTTTTGTATTAACCATGTCTTTAGAATGATACACCTTACATTCTAACAGAGAGTTCAACAAAGGTGTAAAACCTTAGAACTAAAAAACCACCAGGCTACCTCCTGTGCATAAATGAGAGCAACACTTTATTTGCCCCCATACATTCGTTCAATGTCTTTGAGGTAATGGTTCTTCAGCTCCTTCCTTTTCAGTTTGAAACCATCAGTTACTAAACCAGTTTCAGGGGTCCATGGCTCTGGGCTCAAGTGAACCTTGATCGGTATTTCAAATCGCTCCAATTTCATGGCATTTGCAGCTTCTTGAATTTCTTTCAGTATTTCAGCTTCCATGGCAGGATTATTACATATATCAACCCAAGATCCTTCAACCCCTTTCTGTTGTGCCAAAAGTGTCAACCTTTTCTGATTAGGAACCACAAAACTGATCACATAGGACTGGTTGCTTTTGGCAACAGCACAGATGTTGTCAATCAGTGGACAATTCTTCAGTGCAGCTTCTACTTTCCCAAGAGACACATATTCTCCTGCCTGTAACTTCACCAAATCTTTCTTACGATCTATAATCTGTAAACATCCATCGGGATGGAATTCTCCAATATCACCAGTGCAAAACCACCTTTGCCCATTTTCATCCACAGAATAATCCTCTGCCGTTTTCTCTTCATTTTTAAAATATCCCATTGAGATATTCTGTCCGCCAATTACAATTTCACCTCTGGGATTTGGCTTGTCGTGAATTGTATAACCGCCTTCCTGCCAGTCTTTAAGCTTAATTTCACAGCAAATAAGAGGGGCTCCAACTCTGCCAGTAGTATAGTCCGTGACTTCAGTCACTGTCCCAGCACCACACGATTCTGTCAGTCCGTAACCCTGGCTGACTGGGCAGCAGAAGCAGACATTTATGAATCGATGTGTCTGAGGAGACAGTGGGGCCCCACCAGACAGCATCATGCGGACATTCCCTCCCAGCAGAGCCTTCACCTTTTTAAACAGTAATAGATTGCAAAGAGGTGCATCATATCCCTTTTTGATCTGTTCCAATTTGTAATCATACCCTATCTTGAACAGAGTTTTCTGAATACAATTCATCTCTTGGACTTTGCTCATAACATTCTTATAAATTCTATTCATGATTTCTGGAACAGCAGCCATAAGTGTAGGTTTCAGTGCAGTACAGTCTCCTTTGCTTCCCTTTTTAATTTTGCTGGACTGGTCAGATAGTGTAAGTGGAGAAGAATATCCAATTCTACAGCCATAGGTAAAGCAAGAAATCTCTGCTGTCAATTCCAGCACATGAGCCAAAGGCAAGTAGCCAATGTATATGTCCTTTGGTCCCAGTCCAGGTATTCTTTCACATTGGCCTGTCATTCCAGCTATCAAATTGCTATGATGCATCATCACTCCTTTAGGCCGGCCTGTAGAACCACTGGTATACATGACAATGGCCATGTCTGAAGGCGTTGGTCTACTTGGAGGAACACTCAAGTTTTCTGGCTTGGATCCCAACTCCTCTACTGATTGCATGCTGTGAATCTCAAATCTGTCAGGGTATTCTGCTTTATTGATAGTCTTATTGTCCACATAAATGATGTGTTTGACACAACTGATATCTAACAATGCAGTCTTTAGTTTACTTTCTAGAAGTTCAACACTAGTAATAAGATAGGCAGCCTCAGATTCATTTAGCCCATGAACTACTGCGTCTTTGCCAAGTGTGGCATATGAAGTCACAAGAGGAAAGTTGTACTTAAAGCAAGTCTGTGCAGCAATCATCCATTCGGCCCTGGTCTCACAGAAGATGGCAATGGTGTTCTTTGGTTTTAGTCCCAGTGCAGTGAGTCCACTACCAAAGTTATTCACTCTGTGGTTCACTTCGAGATAGCTGATCCATTTATAATTTCCAAGAATTAACTTCTTAAAAACTTTTCCATTTGGCTGCATTTCATTTTCTTCACTTAGGATTTCCCTGGTCCCAAGGCTGTCCTTCTTCCCAAATTTGGATACAGCATGGTCAAATAATTTATCCAGAGTGTCTGCTCCAGGGATGTCTATGACAGCTAGCGAGTGGAAGTGCGTGACAGAGCGGTATGGACTTCCAGGTTTGTCTGAAGTGGGCTTAGCTTTTATTCTCTTTGCCATAGCGTCTTTCTTAAATTTCCTCTTTTTTTCTTAAGAACAACACGTGTACCTTCTGTGATTTCAATCCGAGGCGCCGCCCCTGGCGTCTTGGCTGCGGCGGCGCCTGACGCGGGAAGCTGGCGGAAGGAGCCGCGCGCCCGCTGGCGCCGGGGCGAGGAGGGCGCCGCAGGGGCCCGAGAAAAAGCCGCGGCGGCGCGCGCGCCCGGACGGCCGGCGGAGCAAGCTGCGAACTTTAATAAATATCTCATGTAAATTTTAATAGAAAGTGCCTCCTCTAGTTATTTTTTTCCTAAGAGAGCAGCCGACGATAACACACCTGTCTTCTCCACAAGAGTTCTGGTAGCTTGAAAAAAGTAGAGCAAAACGTTGGCGGATGGAGTCTAAACTATTCCCTTTATTACTGAACAAGCTGATGTTGGAGAACGTAACTTAAATCTGTGGGCATGTAAGTGTCTTAACACTAAACCTCAAATTTAGGAAGAGTTACCCATCTGGTCTCAGGGAGTGCTTGGCTGAGGCGGTCCTCTCTGGTAATAGGTGGTGGCTGCTATGGTCGGATTATGTCATAGAGGATTAGAGAGGATTATGTGGTCCCTGTCAGAAGCTCAGATCCGAGAGAAAGAGAAGAGGAAGGGTTCGGTATCTGTATGCCATGTTTCTCCTTCTATACTGAACAATTAGATTAATCCCTTAGGGAAGAGTGTGTTAGGATTGGGGATAGGCCAGGATTGTTTGTTTCTCTAGTGGAATCCCCACTGCATGTAAGACGTATCAGGTGTGTTTTCCTCCTAATACTATTTTCTATATGTTCAGTAGATGAAGCCTTTTAGTTTCAGTGTTCAAGTCTTTCAAATCTTTATTTCATGCCAGTTCAACCAAACATGTAAAAGACATATATGTATATATATATATATGTGTGTGTGTGTGTGTGTGTGTGTGTTTATATAGTATTTTAAAGTTTTTGGATGTGTAGCACACCATATGGTACAAAGCAAATGTGGACATTTTATTTTATAGATTTCTGCCTTGTTATTTACTACCTTCTCTGCTCAAATAGAGAGAGTTTTGTTGTGTTTTCCTAATTTAAAAGAACTAAACCTCCTTTTCATTTTCAGTTTTCTTTCATAATAAGAACATTTCATGTTATACATTTTCTTCTGAGTAGTTTTTACCTTGCCTCACACTTTTGTATTTTTTGTTCTACAGGCGGTCCCTGATTTACAATGGTTTTGACTTACAATTTTTCAAATTTATGATGGTGCAAAAGTGATATGTGCTTAGTATAAACGGCACTTAAAGTTTGAATTTTGGTCTTTTTTCAGGCTAGTGATATGCAGTATAACACCCTCTCACGATGCTGGCCGGCGGCAGTGAGGCAACCTCCCGATCGCCCTGCCATCCCAAGGGCAAACAACTGAGACTCTACGGTGGGCTGTGCTACCAGATGATTTTGCCCAACTGTAGGCTATTGCAAGTGTTCTGAGCATGTTCAGGGTAGGCTAGGCTGAGCTCTGATGTTCAGTAGGTTATGTGTATTAAATGCATTTTTGACTTATGATATTTTCAAGTTACAATGGGTTTATGAGGACATAACCCATCATAAGTCGAGTAGCGTGTGTACGTACAAGTCAAACACAAGAAGACTCTGAAAGGTAGGGAGAGCCTGCTGACTGGCTAGGGCCTTGGGACATGAGCAATGGTGTCGAGGTGGGTTCCCTGGATTTAATTTTTGCCTTTTCTTTCCCAGACCTGTTGCCAGGGAAACTAGCAACACAGAAATGCCAGTAGGCACAAAGTAAAAAAAGCCCCCCCCCCCCAAAAGCCTGTTCTTTCTAGCTAAAAGACCAGGAAAGGGGGGACCAAGCAAGACAGAAAACTTTTAGATAGTAACTTCTCTATTTCAGCCAACACCATAGAAAGAACTGTGGCACCATTCCCCTCCCTGCCTGCAAAGATGGAGTGGGGAGACTAGATGCCTACCCTTGTGAGGTTGGCACAAGGCACCTTGATGCCCCCACTGGGTGGTGTTAGAGAAAACCACGCAGGTGCTGAGACGTTGATCCTCATTGTATGCTAATGCAACATCCCCCCGCCGCTCCCCCCGGCCCCCAGCAATGAGGCCACTCTCAACGGGGTATCAGTGGACACCACACGAGGCGCTAGAACTACCACACCTGCCTGGCTACAATGGCAACAGGGAGCACCTCACCACAGGTGTCAGTGAAGGCCAAGTGGGGAACTCCGCTTCTGCCTTTAACTGTCAGTAACAAGTGGTGCACACCCCTCCCCTCACCAGAACAGTGTCAGAGACGGCCAGCTGATTTAAACAAAAGGTTTAAATAAAATCCATCCTCACAACGTAATATGTCCAGGTTTCAATCAAAAATCACTTGTCATGCTGAGAACCAGGAAGGTTCAAAGTGAATAAAGAAGGCAAGTGATGCATGCCAACACTAAGATAACAGACATGGAAGAATTACCTCACAGAGATTTTAAGGTGCTTATGCTTAAAGTGCTCTGACAAGCAATTACGAACATGCTGAAACAAGTAAGGATGTAGAGCCTCAACAAAGAAGCAGAAAGTCAAAGCAAAGGTATAGAGGATATAAAGATACATTTACAAAGGGATATTTTAGCACTGAAAATATAATAACCAAACAAAAATTCAGTGGATGGACTGAACAGCATAATGCAGGGGACAGAAGACAGATCGGTGAACTTGAAGATGAACAATAAAATCATCCGATTTGAACAACAGAGAGAAAATAGATTAAAAACAATAAAAAATATAAACAGAACCTCCAGGGAGATGTGGGAATATAACAAAAGATCTAAGCACATGTCATTGGATTTCTGTAAGGAGAGGAGAAAAGGCGGGACTGAAACGCTACATGAATAAAGGATGCCTGACGACTTGGCTAGAGACATAAACCTACAAATTTGAGAAGTTGCTGAAATCCCCAAAAGGATAAACCTAAATAAGTCTCTATTAAGACACATCCTAATTAGAGTTCTGAAAACTAAAGTTACAAGATTTTGAAATCTTGAAAGCAGTCACAGAAAAATGGCATGTTAGTTGTAGAAGAAAAACATTTTAAATTACAGTAAATTTCTCATCAGAAACTATGTGGTTTACAAGAAAGCAGCACAGTATTTTTCAAGTGATGAAAGAAATGAACTGTCCATCAGCCTCCTATATTGAGCAAAAATATCTTTCAGGAATGGTGGGAAATCAACTGATTATTACATGAAGGAAAACTAAGAGAATTTGTTGCCAGTAGATCTTCACAAATGGAATAAAGGGAGTTTTCTAAACGGAAATAAAATGGAGGAAAAATTAACCTTGAAACATCAGGAAGAAAAAAAAAACATGCTCAGCAAACATATGAGGAATTATAATAGGCTTTCATGCTCTTCTAAAGTTTTTAAAGTTATTTTTTATGGTTAAATAAGAAATTGCATTACTGTCCAATGTGGCTCTAAATGCATACATTTAGAACATTTAAGACAATTATGAATAGAAAAGGGTAAAGGGACATGACGGGAAGTAAGATTTTTGTGGTTTACTGAAACTGGTAAAATGACAACTAGACTATGAAAAGTTATATACATATGATGTAATATTTAGAGCAACCACTGGAAAGCCTATACAAAGAGATACATTCAAAAGATTATACATATATTAAAAAGGAATTCTAAAAAATGTTAAAGTAACTCATAGGAAGTCAGGAAAAAGAAAACAGAAACTAAAATCATGGAGAACAAATACAAAACAAAAAATTAAATGGCAGATTTAAGCACTAACATATCAATAATTACATTAAATATAAATTGTCTAAATGCAGAAATTAAGAGGCAAAGATTGGCAGAGTAGATTAAAAAATATGACCCAATTATCTTCTGTGTATAAGAAACTCACACACTGTACGCAAGTTCAAAATAAAAGGGTAGGAATAGGAGATCAACTTATTTAGCTTCTATATATGAGTGAGAGCACGTGGTACTTATCTTGCTGTTCCTGTCTTTTTTCAGTTGTCATAATGTCCTCTAGGCTCATCATCCATGTTGCTGCAAATGACAGGATTTCATTCTTTTTATGGCTGAATAGTATTCTAGTGCATATATTAATATTGGGTTTTTAAGCATGAAATGTCTGATTTCCTTAAGTACTAAGTTTGACAGTTGATATCTTTGACACTTCTTGTTTTATTTTTATTGTGAAGGTACATTCTCATTCTTTCAAACACATGGTTTGGCTTGTGATTATCTTTCAATTTTTTTTAGAGCAAATTTTATGAAACCACGGGTAACTAAAAAATTCGTGTTATTTTCAAATATGAGTTCTATCATGGAACCAATGCAGCACAGAAAGCTCGAAATATCAAGAAAGTGGTTTGGGAAGGATGTGGCTAATGAATGCACAGTATATGGATGGTTTGAGAAGTTCTGTTCTGGTGATCTTAATCTTGAAAATGAGCCACGTGGGTGACATGAGACCAAGGTGAATAATGATGAGCTGAAAGCTATAGTGGAAGCGAATCCATCTCAACCTGCATGTGAATTAGCAGCAAGGTTTGACGTTACTATTCCAAAACTATTGGACCATTTCCAACAAATCAGCAGGGTAAATAAGCTGGATAGATGGGTACCACATGAATTAAGCAGAAGTCAAAGAGAAATCATCTCAAAGCTTGTCTTTCTTTGCTGTTGCAACATAAAGGTGAACCATTTCTACACATCTACATGTGAAGAAAAATGGATTCTTTCTGATAATTGCAAGCATTTGACATGATGGTTGGATAAAGATGAATTGCCAAAACATAGTCCACAATTGAATATTCAGTGAAAAGCCTAATGGTGTCTGTTTGGCAGTCCAGCACTGGTATCATCCACTACAGCTTCATGAAACACGGTCAATCAATTACAGAAGATGTCCGCTGCAACCAGTTGGATGAAGTGATGAAGATGCCTGTGATCAAGCAGTCGAGATTGGTCAGAGACAAGCCAATCCTCTTGCAAGACAACACTTGATCACATGTTGCACAAACAATGCTACTCAAACTATATCAACTGGACTTGGAAACTCTGTCATCTGCTATATTCATCAGACC